TAAACATTTACAGGAAACTTGTCCTAAAATGCAGATTTCCGAAAGTGAGAAAGAACATAAATTTCGTAATACATTCTAGAGAATAATATTGTACAGAACCATGTTGCTAACTGAACAAAAGTCACTAAATGCAGTATTGCTGGATAAATGGGAAGAAACCTGATGAGAATATTTACATAAGCACTTCGGCTTAATGAAACACAGGAACATTAATAAAAAGTTTCCTTAAACCGTAGCAACATAATAAAAAACTTAGCATAATAGCATAAAATACGAGGGGGGAGGGAATGCTTATCTCGGAACGAGTTGAGGAGTATGTTAATCACATATGGTCTCAAGTGTAAGTCTTTTTCCACAAAGCCATTGTCTTCAAAGTTGAGCAAATTACTTAAACAGGCTTTATTGTAGAATTTTTCATTTTTATCGTCAATAAATTAACGTATACTAGGCAGCTTCAGATGTCTGGGTAAAGCAGATTTTCTGACGTAGTAATGTGCACAGATAAATCCTAAAGAAATAATTTTTAAGCCTCTAAAGGATGAGAATGCACACGCGTGCAGAACATTTTCCCAGACAGGATAAACACACGTGATCACCGGCCTAATTGCTGAGAAAAGACACCTTTTCCAGTTAAGATTCTAATTTCAAATTATCAGCAAGGCTAGATTAGATCTTGAATATTACACCATATGCTTTAGCTGCAACCTCCTTAAAATGCTTCTGCCAGAGGACTATCAGTTTTACACTAAGATACTTTGCCTGACTTAAAGGGGGCCCTTTTTTCTTCAAAAAAGTTTGTTACATGATGTAATACTATGTTACAATGTATTTATAAATCGTGAGCAGTTTTATTTTTTCTTAGTTGACACTGATCTTACATCTCTCGCATCATATTTCTATTTTAGATATTTTATCCTGTACTTTTGCTATTGCATGATTGGGGCTTATAGGTCTGTCGCATAGAAAAACGACAGATAATTTATATTACTTTGAAATATCGGAAAATTGAGACCTAAAAGACGTATAAAACACGGCCAAGAAAAACGTCCAGATGCTATACTTATTCACTTTCCTCAAGAGGCATTTCGCTGCTAATATGTACGGAATAATCTCAATGATTTTGTTTTTATTAATCTCCAGATGTCCGTAACTTGTTCTTTTATACGGGGTATTATTTTATGGAAAACAAAAATTATGAAATTGAGAACAAGAAATTGTTACAAGGAAAAGAGTATTTTTAACAACTTTTGTTAAAATAAAATGTATTAAAGGTAAAATTCCACAACTTTCTGTGCAGACATTATTAGATTTCTCGCTAGAAGTATAATAAATCAGCTATACCCTCGCAGAAAGTCCAGAAATGAACTGCGAGCTCAAGGCGTTAACCTTTACTCAACAATGTCATGTGCAAGAGGAATGGTTTAATTCCATTTACTACAAAGACGCAGGGTGAGAGCCATCAGGCTAAATCTATGTGAAGACGAAATGTCATTCACCATATTTTAAAACGGTTACTGTGAAAACTTAGGTTTCCCTACAGCAGAGAACTCGGAAAACGAAATACACTTTACGCGAAAATCGAACCATAGATTTTTCTGCCTAATAACAGGATGCGCCAATCATTACACTGCAAGGTTACGCACACAAATAATATATTATTCACCATTTAAAGAGACACGGGAGAGCAGATGATACCAGGTCGGCAATATCCTAGTGCTGAGGAGTTATTTCGGCCGTGTTTTAGGCCCTGTGTCACACCAGAGCTTGTTTTTTCAGAGTGAGAAATGCGAAAAAATAAATATGGCCTAGCCCAGAATATTGATCCATAATCTCCAAGTTGTTCTATGGATATGCTGACTACTGTACCAAGTAGGCATGATTGGGTATAACCTTTTAGATGCTACATCTCTAGACCACGTTAAACCTTTAAAGTAAACATATATTTGATCTAGCAGAGCAAAAATGACAACATATTTACTTGAATACCCCGATGTTCTTGTTTCTAATTACTGTAGATATATGGAGTTTTATTTAATTGGATTGAAATCCTTTAAAAACAAAAAAAATCTAAAAATAGCATATATTGTTTTAAATTTTATGAGAATTCCTGTATTAGTAAATGTCCTAAATATTTTATATCTTTTAAGTGTGTCAGATACAGTTGCTCGCAATTTTTTCCTTTTGTAAAGTTATTCTTATTGAAAAAACATTATCAATAAGCACAAAAGCATGAGCAAAGTACGTATGTCACCTGGAATGCATTCACCATGATCATGAAACTGGGAAACATTTAGAGATTCCCTTAAAATTGATTTATAAATAATAAAATGAAGTATATAATAAGACAAGTTCCAAGTAACATACAAGCATGCATTAGGTATGTTGCATCAATTATAGATTTACCTTAGATATTGCTCCCTTTTAGTTTTAGATGAATTTCGTACATTTTACGTACTAGTCTATAGAACTAACCTAATGCAATCCGCTCCAGGACATCTAAATTTATGTTGATTTATTGCAGACATAAAGCTGCAATTTTTTTCAAGGCTAGTGGGTTTTAGATCTGATTTACATTAGAGCTTTACAGCTACATTGCAACGTCATAAATTTATCTCTATTCCTATTATTTTTTTCAGGGAGAACAAATACAGTATTTGTTTTAAATATAAAAAGCAATAAAATATTTGCATATTTTGATCACTGAAAGTATTAAATAAATTTAGCATTAAATTATTTTACTGCCGTATTTGCTATGTTTGGTAGTGTGTTAGTTTATTGCAGTGTCATGCAATGGGCTACTGAAATTAAAAATTGTGCATTTCGAGTAATCAGTCTAAAAGAACGAATGTCAGTAAACCTTACATCCGAACTTGATTCATTTCACGGAAATTGCATAGGAAATGTTTTCATTAAAGAAGATATTGATTTATAAATATATATATACCATTAATTCAATTGCTAAAATTTATTTCTAAATATGTATACAATATCATAATTCATAGATCAATCGATATCTGTTAGCAAAAAGTTCTTGCATGATATAAGGCTTATTAATTATTTCAGGTATTGATGTTAAAAAGTATGCGATTCGAAAGTAGTTTTATATTTAGTTCACTTTAGGATTTATGTACTAGTAATATTCAATAAAATTTTACTAACATATGCATACCTAGAATATCATATATGAAATATTTCAGTACTCTTGATTTTTTGCTAAGAAATTATTATTAAGGGGGAAGGGGGAATGCTGCGCGCAAAGTTTTGTTGTTATCCTTGAATAGAAAGGATGGGCCTGACTATTCAAGGATAAGCATAGTTGATAGAGAGTTCTTCAATAGTGTAAAAAGAGTAGGCCTTTGCAAGTTTATTCATCAATTTTCCCTCTTGAATGTTTATTAATTTTACAAAATAATTTTGCTAGAACATATCAAAAAATTAAATTTTTGATAAGCTGTAACAGAGTTTTAGTATGAAGTGCACTAGAAGTTATTTTCCTGAAAAAAAAAATCAAAGTTCATACGCTCTTAATTACGTTGCTTTAAGATTCCAGATGATTACCAAAAGCATAACTGTACCGACGCGTGTTTGAAAATTTCTTTTTAAAAGGTATAAAATATTGTACAATTTATATCTTGAAGTGTACTAAGATTTTTCGTTTAGAACGAATGCCTAAACGTGTCAATTTTGCTAACTGTTTGAATAAATAATAATAACTTCTCAATAAGTTATATATAAAGTTCTTTGAAAAATAGGTATGGTCCAGTCAATGAACATTTTCTCTAGTGTTAGTGTACTTTAATGAATTTTCAGATTATATATTACATTATATCAAATTTCTGTTGGTATACATGAAAAATAAAATTTTAAATGGCCATGAAAATCTTTCGATTGGCATAAATTAGGCTACAACTGCTTCAACTACCAGCTACAACTGCTTCAACTTTTCTGTTTATTTTCAATCATAATCGAAGTTTAACAGAAAAATTTTCAGTTTTCTTAAATATGCAGTAAAGAACGCCAGTTATAGGCAAATATAAAATATTTGCATCTATCATTCTGTTTCCTCGATACGGTAAAAGTAAATTGGTTGTTAGTTTATTTACATGGTTTTAAAATGTTTACCTTTAATTGTAAAGAACAAAAATCAAATTATTTATTACAATTATGAAATAGAAAAAAAAATGATAATTTACAGTGTATTTGGAATTTATTTACTTTAGTATTTATGACAAAAATGTAAAGTTTTAGTTTAATTTTAGTTCCATAGAAAATGACAAAGAACAGTATTTTATTGTACTAAACAAAATGCCTTTGTTTATTTTAACATAGTTAAATTAGTAGCATAATTAGGCGTCTAACATTAAAATTTTATTAAATAAAAGTTATCTTGATGTTTTAATTTTAATTGAAATAGAAATGGATTATATTCTTAAGCAAATAGGCAAATATAAATTCATTTTATTACTTATTTTTTTTAAACAAGATGCGTTTTAATTTTCTAACCGGATATGAAAATATTTTAGATTTTTTATCTTATTAAATGAAATGTATAAGGAAAAATAATTAAATTCTCCGACTTTCATTACATTGTATAATATATTTCGTCGATCGGGGGAGGGGTAAAAAAGAAAACTAAGCTTTGTTCCTAGTCAGTTCGTATGTTTGAGGTTAAACTCCCTTGGAGTTCATATCGTTCATAAATCAACTATTTATACGAATTTTTACAGCTGCTTGCAGAAAAATTGCTATACGCAAAAGGATAATCTCGAGAATAATGTAGGAAAACATTCACAGCTTATTCTTTTAAGATTGCTTGAGTAGTACGATATTAAAAATAAAGTTACAAATACTTCATCATAGCTAATAAGTACTTGTTCTGCAAATACATCGAAGATAAATCTGTTTTCGATGCAATCATTCCTTTGCATGCTACGAGAGAGATAATAGAGGGAAGAGAGGCAGCACGCACATCCAGATGTATGTATGGATTGGGGCCTCACCAGTCTCACCTTGGGAACGAACACCAGGCACAAGGTGGTCGTCGAGCAGAACATTATGAAGATGGAGATGATGATGAACGCTGCATCTTGTTGCTCTCGCAGTACGAAAGAAAGTGCAGCTCCAATAACGCACATGATGACTACATTGTACACGCTCATACCTATGTACTTGGAATCATTGAGGGCAGGTATGCTGACATGGCGAGTCTCCCACGCCAGAAAGCAACCGAAAGCCTGTAAAAAATAAAAAAAAAATGATGAAATATTTCGCGGTAAATAAGTAAGTATATTTAAATCAACAACATTAGAGAGAAGTTGTTTACTCTCTCGTTGCTGCCAAATAAATTTCTTTGTGTAATTTATACAGCTAGAAATAATTTCGAAATTCGTTGAAGTTCTCGAAATAGATAAAAAGACCCTCACAAAACTTCAGTTTGGATAACAAATTTTAGGTACTAATTTTTTAATCAACTTTGACTGCTTTAAAATTTATTTCACGTAAAATTAGACAGATAATAAAATCTTAATATACTATATGACACATTTAAAGAGTATAAGCTATTTTCTCATAATTCGTCACCACCAGAATTTGGCGATTGGGTCCCCTACCCCAGTGGCCCTCTGAAAGGGGACTTCATGCCAGTCCCGGTGAGGGCATTGCACATTTTTCATGTACTCCTGTTTCACAAATAATGTAATCACCCTAATAATTAATAAACGAATTGCTCTAATGTGTTATTTAACTCTAAATAACTACTTACTTACGTAACTCTAAATGAATAAAAGAAATTACAATGAAACTAACATTTCTACAGAAACAAATTTCGCATTCCGCAGCGACTCAATCAATCTGATTAACTATACTACATACATGGACAAAAATAGCGAAAAAAAGTTTATTTAAACTTCTAAGCTTACTAAAGCTAGAAAAGGTTGTTACACTTTAGGTCAGATACTATTTACTGTAGATCAGTGTATGTTAAATATACTGGTAATATTTCCACATCATACCATTAAACTAATGTAATTGAGATTGTATCTGGCAAATAAAAGCAATAATAGAATATGAAGATATATAAAAGCTTTTCGTAATTTATGATTAAAACTATCAGGTATAATTTGCAAAATATATAATAAATATATGTATGTTATTCTTTCACAATTTAAATAGCATGTAATACGTATGTGTATGTTATATTTCATATTTTAAATAATATGTAATAAATAAGTGTACGTTATATTTTAATAATTTAAATAATGAAACTATCTAAAATGCGTTGAGATTTATATTTAATATACTTTTTAATATACTTTAATATAACAGTTATTTTGTTCACAATAACTGTTAAGTTAACTGTTTCTATCACTCTTGCTTTCAATTCACGCTTTTATTGTCATAATGCAAATGATATAATACGTATGTTTAAATGAGGTAGCAAGAAATTAGTATTTAAGGGAAGCTTCTGAAAGGTGAATTCCGAACGTCTTCTGCCAGCCTGAAGGGCAATACATCTACCATAGATTATGATACCAAAGCCTACGAGACGTTATAGTGTGATCCCACACAGCAAAATAGATTTTAAAATATGTTTTAAAATAGTCAATTCATAAGGTATTTTATTATTTTATGAGCTACTCAAGAAATAACAACAATAGTTTTAATTCCATATACTGTACATTCGTTTGTTGGAAATTATACCTTCTAAATACTACAGCACGTAACTCTGGTATATCATACTCTTTTTTAATATTTTTAGGTTGGGTAGATGGATAAAAACCGTAACAACCTCAAAAGATGAAATCGATGTATTAAAATTCTGTGATTTATGATTTGTATGTATTCAACAGATTTCAATGAAAGTATTTTGATATGGGAGACGAACTTACGAATGATAATTTTTTCCCTAGCTGACGAGGACCAAATGCATATATCATCCTCAATAAAAGTGGCACTGCATTCCGTGTAGTAAATATTATGCTTATTAGAATACAAAAGATAACATTAGAATTTACAAGCATGTCAACTTTTTTGTCGTCATATGATGTGACAGTTAAAGATGAAGAACAGAATATTCTACCCAAACCTAATGTGAATTACGAAGATTTTGAAATTTGAAAGTATGTAAAATGTAGTTGCAGCTGCAGCATTCACACAGAGGAACACACCTGTCTATCGCTCTGCGGAATATATTTATGCGGCTAACTTTCAGAACATGTAAGTGAGTAAATCTCATATAGAATTCTCTGCTAGTGGTGAGATGGGATAAGCGTTTCGCATATTAAGATTAGGATTATAGAACTGATCAAATAATTCCCCGAAACGCTATGAAAATGAACAAAAATAACTTCAATCCATTATTAATACATTTTTAAACTTTTATTTTTAATTAATATCACACAAAATGTATATATATAGTAAATTTTAAGTTAAGCTAACTGCTTTGGAATTTTGAATGAATATTTTTTTCCATCGTCTGATGTTATTAAAACAGCTGCGAACAAACGTGATCACATTATGTGCTTCATTTATGTGGCTTGCAGAAATCTATGGCCCCTTAGGGAACTTTATAGCTCCCTCTTGAAAACTACTGGTTACGGCTGAGGAAAGATAATGATCTATACAATCTCTACAAGGGTATTAAGGTTTTCATTAAGTATACCGCAAGAAAACTACGAAAAGGAAATAATGGAAAAATCGAATCTCTTGAACAGGAAGTCTTCCGAGTATAACGTGGCGAAGTGAAAATCACTGTTGTAAGAAAACTAAGCTTAGTCTAAAGCGATAAATTTGTACAAAAACACATTAAAAATGAATATAAATTCTTTATTTCCAATTTTTTGTTTTAAAATTTTTCTAAATTTATATTTCGCGATTTACCTATATCATTTTCTTTCTATATTTCGGCGATTTACCTATATCATTTTCTTTTGATAATGAAAGTAAAATTACATATATAATCTGAAATTATATATAAGATATAAAACAAATTTTGCTTGGAGAACAAGAGACATATTAAATACTTTCAGATCGTGATTTCATTTTTCAAAAATCTGATATTCTGAAGTACTTTTATTCATGCATCTATTATGAAGGTACATTGAAAATTCGAAACTTTCATTCAGGATACTCATCTTAATGAAATAAGAAAACATAGGGTTGAAAGTTTCGTCTTAAAACTATCTAATTTAGCTTGCGAAATTCTGTAAATATAAATTCATGCCTAAGATTTAAATCTAAAGAAATAAAGCTTGAAGACTTTTATTTCATACACTCTTTGTTGGTATTTATCAAATATTCGTGATAAATAAGTAAAATAATAGTACGTAACTACTGGTTCATAACTGCTCTGATAAAATAAGATTTAATAGCTTTTAATTCATAGCTTCTCGTTGAAAATTCTCCTTAGTTCTTTTCTTTCAAAATATGAAATGGGTGAACTGAAATTTGGAAATTACGAATTAAATCTGCTTGGAGAATAAGTTCTATCACACATCATTTCTTCCCGTTAGTAAAAATCTAAAAGCTGCGTAACTAACATGTCTTCGCTATTACGCGTAGATGATTCTGAAAATACGATGCCAAGAATCACTAGTCAAAAATATCGTTTTTCGATAATTACTTGAGGCCCGAAGACAAACGAGTATATTGATTTTTCGATGTTTAAATATCTTTTTCGTCATTGCCAACTTTTCTGAAGTAATTTATGCCTTCTGGCTCATTATTTAGGAAATAAATATTGACGATAGAGAAAATGTAAAAGGAATTTACGTTTATTCCAGTTCACGTGCACAGAGCAGATGTAGAATTTTATCATCTCTCCCAACATATTAAATCAATTTTCTTATACCATATAAAGATTGAACATTAAGTCAAATGTTGCATATTTTCACCTCGTTTCAACAATATTAATATTCCATTCACCTTGTAGCCAATTCGAAATTTAGTGAAAGGATTCTAGAAAAGTTAATTTACATCCAATAAGTCAATTTCAACTTTGCACTGCTTCACGAAAACAGTATTTTACTTTATAAAATGGTTTAGCATACATCATCAACGGAACGTTTTGAAATTATGAAAATTAAGTATGCAAAAAAAGCATAAAATCCCAAGCTGTATTTGAGTACTGAAATATCATTAGTAGTTTGATTTATAAGATTTTCTTGCCATATAAATTTAAGAATTTTATTTCTTTTTCAATCACTATTTTCCACGCTTCAGAAATTTAGATATTAAACATAATGTTGAGAAATCGGGCATTGGGTATTTATTGAGGTTATAGGATTCTAGCTAAATTCGTTGCCCTTGGCAACCAGAATACTTCAGAAGTGTGTAGCGACTAATCGTTTATTTTTAAGGCTGTAAGAACAAGTCTAAAGGAGGGTTATATTACCCTTTTATGTTACTCAAGAATATTTACAGTTGGTTTCTCTCGGATTTACAGGAAGCCTCGACTTAAGATGGAAGATAAGGAACTAATTTAGTGCTAACTAAAACCTAGCTGAAGATTCACAGAAACAACTAACAGAGTTGGCCCTCATTTAAGAATAGTTAGAGTTACAAGCAAAGATTTGCGAGAAAATGTCAATACTAAGTAAAACAAACTGTCCCAATTTTTGAAAATTTTTATGTGGACTATAATATTGTCATCGCAAATACGTATGTGTATAAATGAAATTTTAAGAATGCTGGCTCCGTAAAAAGGATTCAAAAATTAATTTAGACACTTTACCCAAGAAACCAACCAATAAACAAGCTCCAAAAAAAATATAAAAATCATGTTTACTTTTCAATGCATTTGCGACTTATAGAACAGTCCATTTATAAATTACATCAGATGCAGTAAAAATGCACTTAGCAGGTCTGCTAGAAGTGAGATATAAGACATTGTGTTTGACTACAATTATAATAATATAAATGTTTATTAAAACTCTTGGAATGTTGGATTTATTAATAAGCTTATGAGTTATTTCTCCCGCCTTCTTAGCGTGCCTTCCTGGTGTAGTGGTCTGCATGCTGGCCCGGCGAAGGCGTTGCTAATTTTTCATCTGTCCCGATTTCAAAAAAAATAAATAAATAAATCCTAATGTCTCTACAGTGTTGCCCGAACTAAAAAGGGTGGTTGATGATGATTCTCCCCAGCCAGGATTTGGCGATTAGGTCCCCTAAAAATCCCAGTCGCCCTTTAAAAGTGGAAGTATATAAGGTATTTCTCCAGCCTTCTTAGCATGTCTTC